TCTCCTCCTCTTTGAGTGCTGCCTCTTACTCAGCTTCCACAGTAATTGCTGTTCTTATTTCTTTGCAGTTATCTTTTAAAATAGCAAACAAATGAGGGCTAATTTTTGCCACAGCAGCACCTCCCAAGCAGGTACATGGACAAAAAAAATGGAAAAGAGAGGATGATGGGCAAGCCAGGAAGGGAGGGATTTTCCTGCTGGCTGTAATGCTGATATAACTGTAATATAAAGACAGCAGATATATTTTGGCTTTAATATCAATTATATGCTGTGATTTAAAATTTATGTAGCATTTCAAATCACAAGGTGACTTCAAGAGTATTCCTGGAACTTGCCAGCAATGTTGTGCCTCAGGTGGGACAGGAATTGATGAGGGAAGTTTGGATCCTCTCTCAGGACATCCCCTGGAACCTCAGCACTTAAACAGCACAGGCAGCACCCAGGGACAGGGATGGCTGGTCCTGCTTCACCGGCAGAGGGACTCAGAAAATCAAATTCAGTTTTGTGTCTGACGCCCCTCTGAACTCCAGTTTGTGCCACAGGACAGATAAAAGGTTAATATATATATATATATATATATATGAGGATACAATATGTTTGCTCTTTTTTGGCAGAATCTTTGTCTTTTTCTCACATTTCCTTTAACAGTGCTAGAAACATCCTCATGCAACCCCAAAAAAATCCCAACAAAAACTACCCAAACCTAAAAAAAAAACAAACCAAAAAATAACCCAAAGACTCCAGATACAACTCACATTTCAGTATGCATCGTCAGCTGCCCCAGGTGTTCCATTGAGGAAATCTGTAATTTGCATTCTCAAATTTTGGGTTTATTCAGGGCCATTTCTGCTAGACTGTCTGACATAAAGAGATCTGGTATTTATTTAATAAGATATCAGGTTTAATTTGCATGTGGAATTCTGCATTCACAGCATGTAATGTCCTAAGTAATATTCAGAAGTTTTTCTTAGATTCAGACAACTAGGAAAGATGGATTAATTAACAGAATACCAGTAATTTATTAGTAAGTATGAGGCAAAACCAGGACACTACCTATCATCATGTAAACATTTCAAATATTTTGGAAATAAATTATTACTGAAAAGGATAGTGCAATTCTGAGCCAAATAATCATTCCTCTTACAACATCATTTATCTTATTGAAAATTTTAAAATGTGCAGAACACAGAAGTGTTCTGCTCTTACACTGTGGGAGCAGAGATTTTAAACATGATTCATTGTCCTGTCAGACTATTTGCCTAATGCCAGAAAAAATCCATTAACATCTTTCAGCCTCCAAAATATTGGGAACAGAATTGCTCTTCCCTCTCCTCCCTTCTATCACACTGGGCTGGAAAGGAGAGCAGAGGAAGAGGAACTCTCTGCCACAGTGATTTACAGTGCAGTATGGGATATTTGGTAAAACATGGCTCAGCTTCTTGTTCTTCTTTTATTTTAATTTAAAAAGGACATTTTCCCTATGCTGCTGAGTACTGTGGACAGTACCAGGTGCATTTTGTTCTGGACTGCACAGATAACTCCCCCCTAATCTCACAGGACTCAGGCTCCCATCTGAGGCTGCACATTCCTTCCTATCACTTCCAAACACTTCAGACCTGGGAATGGAACTTTCTGGAATCTCATCAGAATAGATTATGCATGTTTTATATGTTGCCTCTCAGAACTGCATATTTTAAAATACACACATCTCACCAGGAAATACTCAATCTGCCAGTTTTGCTTTATCTACCCTTCCTAGATAATTTGCTTTCTGAACAGAACTGTAAAGAGATTTTAAGTGATTTTAATACAGGAAGAAATCCAGCAGCTGGAGCCAACTGTTAAAAAATGTGAAGCCCTATTAATTTTTTATCACATGTCCAAAAGGACACTGCTTTGTGTAGATTATACAGGCATATTCAAATAAGTTTGGGAACGAAGCTTCAGAATAATTTTAAGTAATGGATAATGATGCCCATGAAAAGATGAGTGAGAAAAAAAGGCTGAGAAAAATCTATTTTGATCAACCAGCCAAGCACAGGAGCGTGTCAAGCACATGCATTTTCATTTCTGTGAGAGCAGGCTCAATGAAGCCTTAAAGAACATATTAGCAGAGAGACAGCTGGATCCCAGCATCCCCAATCAGGACACATCCAGGTTAGCTCCTGATTTATGTGTCCCAGAGCCTCCTCCTGCCAGGCCTGAGTCCCGTGGCACAGAGAGCAAACTCATTCTAAAGACATATATGCTGCACTTCATCTTCTCTGAGGCTCCAGCCACTGTGATCAGGGCAGAATTTGACACAGAAACTGAAAGATTTATGGCTCTCAGCCTTGCCAAGATCTTCAGAGGTGGCCAAAGCAGAGCTTATTTAATGCAATTAGTAATTGTATTAGGAAAGCCAAATCACTCTGTTTACAGTGACACTTGACAAAATTTAAATGGCAACAATCTTTAATCTGCATTTCTGAACTTTCTCTTTGAATTCTTAATGTATAGAACAAAGGACATAATTTTTTTTATATTCAGCTGGGATCTTCTTTTCGCTCTTTCAAAAAGTTCCCTGCCAAAAAAACCTAATCCTATCACTTACTACTTGCTTTTATTCAGTGCTCACCAAAACTTGAACTGCATCTCAGAAAACAGCATGGCTAAATAGCAAAATTGAAATGACCAATGAAAGTTCTGGATCCTTCAGTACATGGACACAAAGCACTGCTGGTACAGAAATGAAAGAAAATAATGTCAGAATTGTAGGAAAATATTTCAAGCTGTTTAATGCAATGTACAAAACCTGAATTTCTTTCCTCCTTGTTCAGCACTTTTAGGACATCATTCTGAGTGGGCAGGCCAGGTTTAGATCCCCTCATGAGAAGAGAGAACAAGTTCAGCAGAAGGCCACAAAGGAAAACAATGCTATCCATTTCCTTATCAGTTCCTTCTTCTTTAGGGAAAATTTATTTTAAAAAGACTTTTAAAAGTCTTTAAAAGAATTAAATGTATACAGCATTGTTTTGATTCTCATCTCCAATAAAATAATTTTATTCTATACCTGCTAATAACCCATTTCTGTAAGAAAACACTTGGTGAAACTTTATTTTTAGCATTATATTCTCAGAACATTGTGGCTAGTATTAAACATCATTGCATTTTATAAATACTGTCATTTTCTACTGAGGTAGAAACATTACATAACTTTTCAGATGACAGCAGTAAAATTACATTTAGTCATGTGCAATGAGATGACAAATCTAGATTAAATTCCAATTTCTGCAAGTCTTCCATCAATCATAGGTGAGACAAATGCAAACCCTGGTTCTTTTACCACCCAAAATTTCCAAATCCATGCTCACAGTAATTATTGAACATTCAGGAAAACCAGCCTTGAATTGTGAATTTGCACCAATTCAGAGAAAAGGAATTCAGCAGCAGACTGAAGAGCAACTGAAAAATCACTTTCCTTCCCCCACAGTTTATTTCAGTCCAAGTAAAATGAGTTCTGTTTATGTGTATTTATATTAACTTTCATTGCTGGTATTAAAGAGCTACCTGAGTTCCCCTTCCCACAATTCCTGTGGCACTAAATTAAGAATAAAGCATCACTTCTGCCAAGGACTGCAGCTGGCAAGAGAAAGGACCCTGCAAGTCCTGAGTGACAATGAATTGGACAGAAAAATAAAGAATCACCCCAATTCTGTGAAACTACAGTTGGGTTTGTCTGTCTCTATTCAAGGAAACTAAAATAGGATTTCTTGGAAAAGCAGGGCAGCAGTTAAGTCCACCTGCCTTAATGGGGTTAGTGGATATTATTAGTTATGATCCAGGGAGTTATGTAACAATTTTATACATGTGTAGCATAAACATTTTAGTGTCCTTGCAGTATCACTCCTAAAGCATCCTCAGAGTGAATGCTCAGCTTCCCTGCATCATTAAATGCCTAAAAAAGAGTTTGAACTATAAGAAATTGCTTTTCTACAGCTTTCTAAAGGCAGTCTGCTCCATTCACCTTTGGTTTTTTTAAGCTTTAAATTGTACAAGGCACATCTTATGCTGTAGCCTCCATCCTGCATAGCATTTGACATGAATTTCCTTTTTATATAGAATGGAATGGAGATTTTAATGACTGTTGGATTTTTCAGCTGCTCTGATGCAGAAAGAGTACAGGGAGCAGGGAGAAAGTGCATGTTCTCAATAGGCTTCTTAACAAAATGTAGGATCACTTTTACACACGTTTCTCCCCGTGATTTTGTTCCATCTCCTTCGCATGATTCAATCACCTGTGCTTGTCGTCTGATTTCTGACACTTGGCTCCCTGCCTGCCTTCTGACAAGAAATTCACTTCAGTGAGCTCTGTCCTGACTCTGGCCAGGTTTTGTGGGACAAGAAAATCCCTTCAGTGTCACATTCCAATCCCCTGTGCATCTTCAATTCCCTTTGCTCTTGCTCTCCCCCTGCCAGTGATTGTCTGGGTCATTTCCAAGAGGGAAAAGCATCATTACAGACCAGACTTGCTTGACCATTTCCATATTTTGACTTTGAAATCAAAACTTCATCAAGCTTGTGCTGAAAGCACTGGGTTTCTCAGGGGATTTTGAATTGTTACCAGTAACTGAGATAAAATCCCTGGTGGCCTGTTGGTATTGCTGTTGTGTTACCCAAACCCAGACATGACAAAATCTGCTCCAAAGCTGTTCTGGGTGTGCCTTCATCTCCTCTGCACTGGCTGACATGAACCCCAGCTCCTGCAGAGGCTGGCTGCTGCTTTCCCACCTTTTCCACCTGTCACCTGCATCCGTGGGACTTTTGGAGCAGCTCTGTGTGAGGGGCTGTTTGCTGTGCAGTGGGCTGGTGTTTGGAGATGCAGTGTTGTGAAAACACAGCTCTGCAGCTGGCAGATGACTCATTTTAATGCAATATACTTCAGCTGAACCTTGTTAAACAGCACTGAGAGGTTGTTTTTACACGACCTGACACCTTTGCATTTCATTTCCTTCTCCCAGAAGAGAAAACGGATGTTAGCATTTTGCCACTGAGATTCCTCTGTGCATTGTCACACCCCGTGATGGAAATACTGTGAAAATGGATGTGGTGTCACCTTCAGCCCCAGATCCAGAATGGATGGGAGCTCTCTGCCTCCAGGGACTTTCCAGCTCTTCCTTTGTAAGATAAAAATATTTCCCCTTGTTTTTTATGTACCTCTTGTTGTACATTCCAGGTGCTCAATTAGCTCTGAGTTAAATTGCAGCTCTCCAGGTTTGCTTTGGAGGGTTGGTGCTAATCAACACCATTGTCATTCTGGGCACCTCGTGAAAAACCCGAGTACAAATAAAAGGAACCCAGAGTTCTCTTGATAGAACGTGTGTGATGAACTGCTTGAGCAAACTTGCTGTGTTTTTGGGATGCCACAGACTAAGAACATTTGTTAGGTTAGAACATGAATTTTAGAAATTAATCAATACACCAGTCAGTGATACAAAAACCACTTCTGTACATCTTATAATAAATGGGAGAAGAGTCAGACTCTCCACTGAGCAATGCTTTTAAATTAAAATTCTCTTTTTCCAGACTAATTGAACTGACACATTTCCTATGTTAAATTGTTTTAAATGCCTAAGTCTTCTATCTGCTACGTGCCTCCTCAAAACTCATCATAAAATCATAAACAAGCTCTCCTCTGACTTGGTATTTATCTTCTGTTGAGGTAGTGTTCAATAAGAATCTTCTCACCAACATTTTATTGACAGGCAAATTTGCAAGAAAATCTTCAGTAAACACTTCTGGTCTAAGGATCTCCCCGCAATTTGTAAAAGTGATTAGCGTGCTGCATCTTTGCTGAAATGGAAATCTGGATTAGATCTCCCCTCTTCCAAGAGCCAAGATCACACATACTCTACCCCTGACAAGAACTTTATACTTCACTCTGTGCTTACTGTAATGTTCTGTTTTAATAAAAAAAAAAAAAAAGAAATTCTTTTTAAATTAAAAATATTTTAATAAAATACCTTTTTAAATAAAATGTATTTACAAAACTGAGCTGGTTCAGCTTAAAGAGAATAAAAAATTGAGTTTCCCAAGGAGCTTTTCTGGTCACCAGTTCTCAAACTGAGTGTGTTGAAAGCATCCAGCAGGTAAATGCAATGACAAAGTTACATTTTATGTGTAATTTTTTGATTCATACTGGGATTTTGAAATTAAAGGTTTCCATGTAAATGATTTGCTGGGTTTTAGAGAAAATCCCACCTTTCCAAGTGTGTTTCATTTCTGAAGGATGGAATGACACAGGAGTGTCCTGTCCAAGGGTGACTCTGCATGACACACAAAAACACTGCTTTCTTTACTCTGACTTTTAATAGGAAAACAGCAAACTCCCCACACCTCCCTTGCACCTTTTTTTAAAACATCAGTTATTCAGGACTGCATTTAATTAGCACAATTAAAAGTATGGGGCTTTAATTGCACAATCCTTGAGGTTTATTGAGGTTGTGGGGCTTTACTCCCAAGTAAATGTGATTATGGGATGAGGATTCCTTCTGTAGGACCCATTAATTATGATGATAATATTCTTGCCTTTGGTTTAAGGAATATTTTTTCTTTCTTCAAAGTGACTTTGCAGAAAGAATCCTGGAAATATAAAGTTTTTGTCATTATCAATGCATATTCTTTGGTTTTAGAGTTATATTTTTAACAGCAGGGAAGTCTCGGCTATATCAAGGTGAATTATATCTGTGGCCCTCTCAAATATAGTTATTAACTCTGAAACCTTTTTAGACTTAGTCCTGTTATACCCTTCTTACTGCAAGATCTGAAGGCAGATTTCCCAGTTATTAAACTCCGTGTCACAGTGTATAAAGATAAATATATACATATCACATGGCGTACAAGGAACGGGAAGACAAACATCAATTAATATTATGAAATCTGCCTGTGTTCCATCCTCTTTTCCCCGGAACAGAGAAGCCCCAGCTCAGAGCGAATTTGATGAGCTCGGTGCAATGCTGATTGCTCCTTTGCTGGTGCCCAGACCATGCACAGCACACCCAGAGCACCATTCAGCCAAGCCCTGGTGCTGCTGGGGTGAAGATTTCTGCTCTGAGCCCCTCAGCAGGAAGCTCTCTCCCTGAGGATGCTCAGCAGTGGTGGCTGCTGTGGGCTGCTCCTCTCCCTCTGCCCAGGGTGCTCTTAACTGCAGCTCTGCTGTCACTCTGGGCAGGGGCTGGCTTTGAATCCACTCCCTGGTTTGAAATGTAACACTCCAAGCAGCAAGAAATAGAGAAATAAACCATTGACTTTGAGATGAGCAGAGGGTAATAAAGAGGACGAGGTGAAGTGCTGGGATGGAAATATTCACCAAGGGAAAGAAAATTAATTGCTGAGTTTGGCTGGCAGCTTCTTTTCTGATTGGGATCATAAATATAATTTCTATCCTGTGAGAAGATGGGAATGTTTGGGGACAAAAATAACACTGAAGACATGCAATCAGTGTGTTTGGACTCTGTCCTGTTTTACAAACCTCGCTGACCTTTGCTATTTCCTTTATTTCTAAGCTCTAGGAACCTGGCTGACATTTTTGTCATGTTGATGAATTTCACTCTGGTAACTTTGAGGTGCATTACACTTGGGCTGTGTCACCCTGCAGGCTACAGGGGCAGGGTGATGAAATAGGATAAGCTCTGAACATGATACAAAACGCTCCTCTTTTTTTGTAACAAAATTAATTCTTTCACAGCAATTTGCTGCTTTTGTTTTTAACAAAGCCCAAATCCAAGTAGCTGCTGAGCTCAGCAAGGCCAACAAGTATTTTTTTGGTGGGGCCAACATATTTTGGCTGACAGGCTGAGAGGTGAAAGCTATCAGAGCTCTTCAGGGCCCCAAAGCTGTTTCCATGAAGTCTGCTGAGAACCAAGATAATATCTGGCCTCTTGTTGGGTTGCAGCCAAATCACATTATAATGCTTTTTCTCTTGCTTCATTTACCTGATAAGGTGACAAGAATTGAACTGCAGCTTTAGCTCAAGGGTGTGTTTCCCTGTGCATTCAGCTTTGCGTGGAACAAATATAAATAATAAATCTGTTTCCTCATGAAACAGATTTAATCATGGCCTGGATTATGGGTAGTACCCGTGGGCTGTAGGAATTTAACAAGGATAGGCAAATGTCAGTCAAATTTCAAGGAGAGTTGAAAATCTTTGCATTAGATGTTGTGAGTATATTTGATCTCTGCTGGCTAGCTGGGAAAGAAATGGCATTTCAGAGCAGAACTTTCTGTCCCTTGCAGTTTTCACATTTGAAAATCATTAGTCAAGATCGTGAAGGGTGCATGAAAATAACTGTGTAGAAGAGCATGCCTCATCCTGGCTTTGAGAATTTGTTAGGATCCCGCCAGAGAGGTTTTTTCTTGGTGTTAGGGGTGTGCTGATGTGCCAGGTTCTAGTCTGGAATTGCCCAGCCAGGGAAATGCTTACTATTACCAGCTCTTCCTCTGGTTTTACCCTTTTTAAGTGAGGCCCAGAAAAGCCAAAAGCTCCCTGCTCTGCTGACTGAATTTCTCAGGGAGTTTTGGCAGAATAAAGGGGTGTGTGCAGCAGTGGTGCGGGTTTGGTTTATTGTGGTTTTTTTGGATCAAAAGCTGAGTGAAAAACTGAGATGGAACAGCATCCCTGTGTGTGCTCCCCCACTAACAGTGCCAGTGGGTGGGAAGAACCAGCTTCAATTTAAATAAATTTAATTAAACACCTGTTAGACCAACACATTCACATTGCCATTCAGACATTCAAACTTTCAAATTCAATGAATTTGAAATTTCAATTTTCAGTTTTCAATTTCAATGAATTCAAACATTCATTCATTCAAATTTTTGATCTAGTCTAAAAAGGCAAAAGCTGCAGTTCAGAAGCTGCACGAGTGCATGAATGTGCATGGCCTTGTGTCCCCTGTGAGCAGCGTGCACAGCACAACCTCAGCAGCTCCTTCAGAAAATTGTGAATTCTGAATATTGCAGGGGACCTGCCCCTTGAAATGTCCACTGGTCACAGAAAAGTGAAAATCAATTTCTAGCTTTACCACACCTGCATTCTTTATGATGGAAACTGTGTGCTACAGCATGAGGCTGAAGTATATTTTCTTAGACAGAAAGACTAGGGTAAATAAAGTTTACTGTGCTGAAAAACAACTTTTATTATACAATGTAAATAGGTAACTCATAAAAAGAGCTGAGGAAAATTCAGTGAGGATTTGAAGCTGGAATTTGATTCAGAGACTTCCAATACTTGATAGTTTATTTCTTAACCCTGCTCCTGGGAGACTGGAGATTTTTCTCCTGCAAAAAAAATAGACTTAGATTTTTTTCCTTGGAAATAAATATCAAATATTCTCATTAATTTTAATGAATGCAAAAAAAAAAGACTTAGGTTTTTTTTTCCTTGGAAATAAATATCAAATATTCTCATTAATTTTAATGACTTTTGCATAAACCACATTTTCACCAATGACATTGTTTTTCCTTCAGAACTAATTTCCAAGAGAGTGAGGTTTTAAATGAATCAAGAGGGAGTTAACTTTTTTCTGTTTATATTTTTTATTCCCTTTGGGAAAATGACATTTTAAAAATTCTGCTTGTTTTCATCACCACTTTCTTTTTTCTGCAGATAGATTTGGGTGTTGCAGGCAGTGCATACCTGTTGCTTCTCGGATTTCCATTCATTCCATCTCACACAGCTCATACATCGCCAAGAGGATCTGTAGTCTCAGTCCTTAGATTATAAATGTGAAAATAAATACACAGAGATCTTGAGATTGGCCTGCCACCCCAAAATCTTCCTATGAGTGCTGACTCATTCCCAGTGTCTGAAATGCTGATTTTAAGTTCAAGTCATAAATATCCCTGCAGCTTTTTTTCTTTCAGGTCCAGCACTATAAATACTTGGAGGGACTGAGAAGTCCAAATGCAGATTTTCCCCTTTGTCTTTTGCATTTGACCATTTGGAGGACTTGCACATGGAGTTACTGAAGGAGTTAAAGCTGGATGAGTTAAAGCATTATCTGGATTGTTCATTGGTTTGCTCTTACTTGGTGTAAATCTCCCAACCGTATTAGAAAAGGGGCTTTGGCCACAAATTCTGCCTTGCAGTAAATTCCCTAATTGGTTAATACTTTTCAAAGTGCACATTTATCAATACAATCTCTAATTTTAATGGCCAAAACTTAGGATATGGAAGAAACTCTGCATGTGGAAAACTCACCTCTATTAGTAGAGGAAGAGTAAAGAGCAAATAAGTGACACTTGCAGATTTCTTTGCTCTCCCAAGATTTTATTATTAGATTACTTTGGTCTAATTAATTGGACCCTGAACTTCTTATTGGGAGTTCTGTTTCAGACCTGGAGAGCTGATCTTAGCTCTGTAATTTCCTCAAGTTTCTCCATCATGTTCAAGTGTTGCCTTCAGGCAGGGATTGTCTTATACAATAAAATATATTAATTTTCAATTTCTTTAAAAGTAGGGCTGGCTGTTCCTGCTTCTGCTTTCTCCTCCCATCCAAGAGTCGTGATGGTGGTTAAACATCTCTCACTGAGAGCAGCTACTGCTCTTTTGTACTTTGAAGTGGCAGAAACAGAACCTTTGGTAAATAAAAACCTCCCATTGTTACCAGGATATTTTATGAAATTCCCTTTGCTAGGATTTTTCTGCTGAGAAGTCTCAGAAAAGAAATGTAAACAATAACTATCTGCTGGTTGTGGGATGTGGTCTGGAGATTGTTTATTAACAGGTGCATCTTTGATAGGTCTCATTTGAGTTGTGGGATATGGTCTGGAGGTTGTTTATTAACAGGTGCATCTTTGATAGGTCTCGTTTGAGTTGTTTTGATTTAATGACCAATTGCAGTGCAGCTGTATTGGACTGTCTGTCATGATTTTGGTTATTCATTCTATTTGATTCTTTTCTAGC